AGGCTTGATACTTCAGGTGCCCTATCTTTCTGACCCTGCATTATCTTGGCTAGATTCTGTTTCCTGGAGTTTCCCATCTACCTGTCTTCTAACAGAGGTAGTTTTAATATAGCCATAGTATCATACCCCCTGTGCTGTGCCTGCCAAATTATATCACTCATCTTTCCTGCACTGGCCAGGCCTAATGTTTTGCCTTTGGGCCTCACTCTGTCACGCATTTCCCTGAAATCTTCCTTCCACCACTGACAGAAATATGTATTAGCTGTATGGGCTGCCCTGTGATAACATTGATGTTACACAAATGCTCTTTATAGCTTTGTTCAGCTGCTTCCTTCTTGGTTTTTTTTTTTTTTTCTAGTGCTCCAATGGGGGTCCCTGGCAAAACCATGGGAGTGATGTTTACACCTCTGACCGTGAAATACATTTACTATGACACGGAGCGGATAGGAGGTAAGCAAGCCTTCTATTCTTGCTATCCTTCTAACTGGATTTTTTGGGGTGCTTGACTTACTTGTATCGGGCTTTTGGTGACCTTAGCTTGCTTGCCTTGCTATTGTGGACAAAAAATGTATCTTAGTATCCCTGCTTTATAAAATAGCAGAGGACTTGTTGCAACACTTTGCAGTTCCTGTTGCTTGTGAGATGGTGCTGTCTGGTAAAGTAGCTACAGGTGGATGGTTAACGGGGGAGGGCAGCACTGATAGAGGGGATATGAGAAGGATGTGTACAATGAACTGTGGTGGGAAACTGAAGGGTAGGAAGGGAAGATGGGAGTTTTAAAAAATTGAAAAAATAACCAAAAAGAAATAAAGTAACACAGGAGCAGTGCAAAGAGGAAAAAAGATGGATCCTATAAACAGAACTGGGAAGACAAGCAGCAATCAGAAGCTTTCACTGGAGGGATAGTAGTAGGTGCATTTTGTTTTGGAACATCCTCAAAGTTTTGTAATTTTCCCAGGCCTTTTCTTTCTATTACTGTCACAACTGGGTTTTTTGTGGCTGGGTTATCTGCATCAGGGGATCACAAGGAGCTACTACCCTAGTTTGCATCAGAGTTGATTATAGCAGTGGCAAACCTAACAGACTCATTAAATTAAGTCATGCATTTCTCTGAATGCTTTTCATCAGTATGTATTACAGATAATTCATGAGACCCCTAAAGCAGAAAAAGACTGGGGAATTATTTATCTAGATTCATATTTGATAATTCTCTGTAGATGTCTTTCCTGTGAACTGATTCGTAACAACATTAGGGGGGGAAATGTGCAGAATGGGAACCTGTGCTTGAAAAATTGCAATATTAAAGTTCATGGGGTATGTGGCAGATACCCCAAAAGGGAGGAAGTGTAAGTCACTGAGAAATAGCAAGAATATGTAAAGATTAGGAAAAAAAGCAAAAATATGAGCTACAAGGGATGATAAAGACAACACGGGAGTCTATAAATAATGGGCCTTAAAATGAAAGACAGGAGAAACCCAGGTAAGCTTTATCTATGATGAGGATGAGCTGTATTAATGGAAGATGCAAAGGTAGAGTTTCTGAATGAGTAATTTGTCTTGGTCTTAATCAAAAACCCCTCCAAACAACTAACAAAATTCAGTATAAAAAAAGATGAAGTTTGCAGCTAAAGATGGTTTTGGAGAGCTTTTGGCTAATTTGAATGGATTTAAGGTGGCAGGGCCTGATGAAGTTTCATCCTAGAGTACTAGAGGAACTAGCTGAAGAAACCTCTGTGCAGTAATATTTGCAAAGTCATAGATGACAGGCAAGGTCCCAGAGCCCTTAAAAATGCCTAATGTGGTGACCATCTTTAAAAGGGGGCAGGGGTGGGATTTGCTCCAGGGAGGATGGACTACTCGGCTAGACTTCAATACCTAGGAAGCTGTTGGAGCATATTTTAAGGGTTAGTTTGAAAACATCTGGAGGAGAAAAAGATGACCACCTTTTCAGTCGACATGTTTCCCTGCCACAGAAGGCTTAAATTGCAGCAAAGCAGATTTAGACTAAGTCTCAGGAAAAATCATTAACTGTAAGAACAATAGGAGAGTGGGGCAGACTCTGGGAATTTGTACAGTTTCCTTAAATGTCTCCTTAAATGGAGTCTTTCAAGAAGAGGCTGGATAGACATCAGTCTAGGATAGCTTTGGAATAGAACAACCCTGCAGAGGAACCTTCAAGGTACCTTCCCACCTGATGATTCTGTGAGTATAGTACCTGGAACTGCTACTAACCCTTAAGAACTGACTAGATTTCTCACAAACTAGGGCAGCACGAGTCATGAGGTTTGCAAAGTAAACTTGCAAGCTTCTAATTACTGCATGCAAAACGTGACTGGTGACTAGCATTAGAATGCTTTGGTGGAGAGCGAATTTCACAGTGAAGCTGTAATTGTGGTGTAGTTTAAACTACAAACTTTTTGTGGGTTAGCTGCATCTGCACAAGAAGATCTGCCAAAACATCTATGTCAACAAAAGAACAGTTTTTGTCAGCTTGGCTACACCACTTCTCCAGATGATAGCTTCTGTTGACAAGTGCTATGTCTACACTAGGGAGTTTTGCCAGCAAAGCTGTATTGAGAGAGACTCAGAAGTGTATGTAAACCTTATATTCAGTGACATGAGGACAGTAATGTCCTTGCTTGGCTTTGGAACAAAGAAGCCCAGCACAGTGGTAACAAATTATCCGTTGCTGTCCCTGTAGCTAATATGACCCCACTGAAATGTCAGCATGACCATGGGAGTGAATGCAACACGAGGGGAGCATCAAATGGTGTATTGTTTGCACTAGCTGATGTCATCCTGGAAATCTCTGGGAGTGGTTGTGGTTTAAGTTACCTTTTGAAGCCAGCTCCTCAATGTCTTATGCTTTCAGTTGATCTCATCATGAAGACCTGTTTCAGCCCTAATAGAGTGATTGGTTTATCCAGTGACTTGCAGCAGGTGGGGTCAGCATCAGCTCGGATACAGGATACACTGGGTATGGTGCTGCAGTATGCAGAAGATGTGCTGGTAAGGCTACCATCAGTACCTATTGGTTGTCCACTTGTTGTTTGCAACTGCTTGTTGAATCTTGCTGATTTGTAAAATGTCTCTTTTTGTGGTTAGTCTGGGAAAGTGTCTGCTGACAACACAGTTGGGCGTTTCTTAATGGATCTTATTAACCAGGTGCCAAAGATTTCACCAGAGGACTTTGAGACCATGTTGAACAGCAATATCAATGTAAGTCCTGTTACAAAATACACCTGGTTGTTTCATAAATGCAGGAAACATTTCTTTGTATGATGAAATTCTTGGGTCTGTAGGGACTCTGTCCTGAGTTGAGTCAAGAATGACAGGAAGTATGTTTCCCTAGCCATCAGTTGGGGGTGGGGAAAAACTCTGATCACCTAGTGCCCCTACTTTCTCTCCCCAAAAAGCCACATGGCAGTAGAAAACATATTAACCAAGTTTTCAATTTAATTTTAGACTTATCCCTTGTAGTGTGAGGCTTGAATGTTAAGACTAAAACCATCAAGACACCATTTGACACCATTCCATGCCATTTGCATTTGACACCATTCCATGCCATTGGGCATCATTAAAGGTGTGAACAAAGCTCTGCAATGTCTAGCAATCAAAGCAGCTGCCAGAATGGTTACCTCATTGCTCCATTTTAAAACAGTGGCACTCAGCCTCTCTGGCCCTGCCAGCTGAATGAATGGTGCAGTATCAGAGTGGAGAGGCTTCTGCATGAGGGGATTGTCTGTGAGCCTGATTTCAACATGGAGTTGGCTTGCTGGGTGGGACCGGTGCCCCCACTGCATGCCAGATGCACCCACTGCATGACCCCATGCTCCAGCCTAACCTGGCACATGAGATTTGTGTTGCAGCTCCCCCCCCCCATCCAGA